AAGCTTGAGAGCTTGAGGCCTTGAGTTCAAGCTCCAGTTCTGGAAAAAAAAAAGTGTTTGTGTGCTGTATGTGTATCAATGTGTGTGTGTGTGTGTCTTTTAAGTAGCTTCCACAAGTGAGTGAAAATAAGATACTTGGTGTTTTTTAAAACTTTATTTTATTGTAAAGATGCTGTTCAGTAGGGTTACAGTTACATGAGTAAGGTAATGAGCACATTCCTTGTCAAGCATTTTTACCCCCTCCTTTGATTTTCTCCCACTATCCCTTCCCTCCCTCCCCTCCCCAAAGTTGTAACGTTCATCTCCAACATAGTGTCTTGTGAGTCTCATTGTCGCAATGGGTCATCTTGTGTCCTTGTTTCAGTATTTTTTTATTCTCCTTCCCCTCCCCAAATTAGATAAATGTATATATACAAGATGCAAGGTACTGAAATCAAATACAGTGACAACAGGGATATACCATAAGAGTAAGAACATACAAAAGAAGCAAAAAAAATCATAATACATTAAAACAAAGAAAAACCTCTTGTGTCCATGTCTTGGGTTTCATTTTGCTTAGCATTATCTTATATGGTCACATGTACATAGCTTTTAAGCTTTTTCGCTTATCTGATAAGATTATCCTAGACTTGAAATGTAGGTCCCATGATTTTCCTCATTTGCAATAATTAGTATATGTCTAGGATATTTGGTGTTTTGAGCTTAGCTTATATTACTCCACATGATGATCTCCAGTTGCATCCATTTTCCCGCAAGTGACATAATTTTACTTTTTTTTTTAAATGGCTGAGTACTATTCCATAGTATATATGTACCACATTTTTCTTCATTGGTTTATTGGGCATCTTGGCTGTTTCCACAATTTGACTGTTGTGAATAGAGCTACAGTAATCAGGTAACTATTTCTTTGCCTGTACTAGAGCTTGGACTCAGGGCCTCCAACTCTTTTTTTTTCTTTTTTCTTTTGATCTTTTTTGGTACTGGGGATCAGACCCATATGCCTAATGATAGATGAATGTATAAACAATGACAGATGAATGTGGTATGAAGTTGTGCTAATCATAAGGAGGTTTCATTGTGACATATCCATACATGCATATAATGTACCCCAATCAAACTCCCTCTATCACTCTCCTTTTTGAATAATTTCAACAAGTTTTGTTGTTCTCTTTTCATAAATGCATGTTAAATACTTTGACCATATTCAATCCTCATTCACCCTTTCTCTTGACCTTTCTTGCTTACTTGCTTGACTTACACTCTATCACCTGTTCTATGCCTCCAGACTATTTTGTTAGTAAATTGGAGATAGTCTTAGGAACTTTTCTGCCTGTGCCGGCTTCCAGCCTCAGTCTTCAGAACTCAGTTTTTTGAGTAGTTAGGATTGCAGTCATAAGCCATTGACACCCAGCTGGCATCCCTCTTTTATATGAATTTATACTGCTTCAGACATATGCCCAAGAGTGACACAGCAGGTTCATAAGTAGATACTTTCCATTTTTCATACTGATTTCTATTGTAGTTGTGCTAGTTTACATTTCTGCTAGTGGTTTATGGGGTTCCTTTTTCACTCCATTCTTGCTGGTGTTGGTTATTTGTTTTGATTAGGGTCAGATAGAATCTTAATGTAGTTTTGATTTCCATGTTCTGAATAAGGAAGGATGCAGCTGGTTTCTTCATATATCTATTAGCTATTGTAATTCTTTTGAAAACTGCCTGTTCATTTGTTTCTCCATTATTCATTGGGTTATTCTTTTGCTGTTTAATTTTTTGAGCTCTCAGTGTATTATGAGTATTAGTCTTTCATTTGGTGAATAATGATGAAGGTTTTTCTTCCATTCTGTGGATTTTATCTTGGATTCTTTTTTTTTTCTGTGTAGAAATTCATTTTGATGCAGTCCCATTTGTCAGTTTTTGCTCTTTCTGGGCAGTTAGGTTTCTATTCAATACAAATTATCTATATTTGTATTTTCCAGAATGTTCTATATGTTTTCCTGTATTGGTTTTAAAGTTTTGGATTTTACAATAAGATATTTGATCCCGTTGGAGTTGATTTTCATACAGATTGAAAGATCAGGGTTTATTTTCACTCTCCTATGTGTAGATAATCAGTTTTCTCTGGGAATATCTATACTAATTTCTCCTTTGTTTTTGAAGGAGAGTTTATAATCTTGAGTAAACTTTTTAAAAAAAGGTTTCTGCTGAGAAATCATAAATGTGCCATTGACCATCCATGTATATAACAAGTATTTTCAAGATCCTCTTATTGCCTTTGACATTTTAGTTAATCATGTTTCTCTGTGTGGTTCTGTTTATTCTATTTGGAGTTTGTCAAGATTCTTCAGTTTTTGTTGTTGTTGTTGTTGTTGTCGGTCATGAGGCTTGAACTCTGGGCTTGGGTGCTATCCCTGCGCTCTTCAGCTCAAGGTGAGCATTCTACTGCTTGAGCCACAGCACCACTTCTGGTTTTCTAGTGGTTTATTGGAAATAAGAGTCTCACGGACTTTTCTACCTGGGCTGGCTTTGAACTGTGATCCTCAGATCTTAGCCTCCTCAGTAGCTAGGATTACAGGCGTGAGCCACTGGTGCCCAGCTTAAGATTCTTCAATTTGTGTATCTCTGTCTTCCCTTAAATTTGTGAAGATTTTGGGGCTGGGAAGGTGGCTCAGTGGTAGAGCACTTGCCTTGCATGCATGAGGCCTTGGGTTCGATTCCTCAGCACCACATAAGCAGAAAAAGCCAGAAAGTGGTGCTGTGGTTCAAGTGGTAGAGCACTAGCCTTGAGCTGAAGAGCTGAGGGACAGTGCCCAGGTCTAGAATTCAAGCCCCGCAACCGACCCTCGCTGCCCCCCACCAAAAAAAAAAAAAAAGTGAAGATTTTTTTTTTTGTTTCCTTAGATTAGCTCTCAGGCCCTTAACCTCTCCTGAGACTTCAATTATAATACATAAAACAATCCATTTGATGATGTCCCTTATGTCCTTTAGATCCTATTTACTCTCCTTCATTTTACCTTTTTCTTATTTTTTATCACTATTAAACTTACTAGTTGTCTCTGGTGAGTTTTAAAAATTTAATTATAGCACTTGACAGGTCTAGAATTAGTTTGCTTCTTTTCCTTTTCATAATTTCTGTGGATATTCTCACTTTGTTAATATGTATCATCCCTGATTTTATTTAGTTCTCTGTCTTTGTTTTCCTTCAGTTCTTGGACATCATTAAAATAAGTTATTTCTTCTTTATAGGTGAGACTGGCGTTCAGACTATGGCTGTGTACTTGCTAGGAATTCAAACTAGTGATTTTTACCATTTGAGGCTCTGCCTTTTTTTTTTTTTTTGAGTAGGAGCTTGCCTTTTGCTTATGCCACCCTGAACCACAGTTTTCCTGTTTCCACTTTCTGCCACAGCTAGGATGACAGATGTTACCGCCATACCCAGCTTTCTCTTTTGAGATAGAGGTCTTGCTAATTTTCGCCTTAGTTGGCCTGGAACTATGATCTCCCAATTGTCACTCTCTGCTTTCCAAATAGCTAGGATTATAGACGTGAGCCATTACACCTATCAGTTCTGTGTACTTCTAAATTTAGTGCTGCCACTACTTTTGTTGTCCTTTAGTCTGATATCCAAATTTGCCACTATTTGCAGACTGAATCTCTAAGTCATGTGAGACAGAAAGCAATCCTTTAAGCAATTCCCAGACAGGCCGTCTGAAAAAAAAGTTCACTCTTCTTCCATCTTAAGGAAAGAAACAGAGTTTGGGTGGATTTTTATCCTGTGTCATACTGTTGAAGAGAGAGGATAGTACATGGATGTTTTTCTGTCTCTTTTAAACATTTCTTTGGTTAATGGGACTTTTAGATAGTTCTTAAGTGTTCTCATTATTATGCATATGCCTAGATAAGGATTTTTTTTTTTTTGGTGGGAGGCATTTATCATATATGGTATTCTCTGAGCTTCTTGAAAATATAGTGTCTGTGTCATTTAATTTTTTGGTGGTGTTGGGGTTTCTAGTCAGGCATTCTGCCACTTAAGCTATCCCCCCAGCTCTTTTTTGCCTTAGTTATTTTGCAGATAGGATTTCTTTTTACCTGAGTCAAGCCTTTCATTGTAGTTTTCCCATCATCACCTCCAGAGTAGCTAGGACTACAGTTATGTGCCATTCTTCTGGATTCCTGTCTGTATAATTAATTCTGGAAATTTCTTATCCATTATTATTTTGTGTATGTGTGTGTATCTATGTGTCTGTATGTGCTTGTGTGTGTTGCCTCCCTCTCTCTCTTTTCCCCTACATATTCATCTTCGTTGCATGGTATAGTTTTTATAATTGTCCTGCACGTACTGGACATTTTGTCCTGTTAACTTTTTTTTTATTGTTTTCTTTATCCATTTGAATGTGCAAAGTTTTTTGTGCTTATCATTGCTTATTAATTTCACATTTTTATAATTTTTCACATATAGGTATTTAAATGCAATTCACTGTTTATTGATCTTGTACCATAATACTCTGCTTGATTAATATATTTTTAAATTCTGATTTAACATGTTCATTAATATACTGTACAGAGATAAAAAAACTCTCTAAAGATGTAGTTTTGATCATGCACACAATCAGACTATGAAGAAGAGTGCAGGTTGGCCTGTTAAAATAGATGTGTTGAGCCTGGCATTGGTGGCTTATACTTCTAATTCTTGTTACTCAGGAAGCTGATATGTGGAGATCATAGTTCAAAGCAGCTCAGGCAAGAAAGTCTGTGAGACTCTTCATCTCCAGTTAACCACCAAAAAAGCTACAAGTGAAGCTGTGACTCAAGTGGCAAAAGAGCTTAGGGACAGTGTCCAGGTCTTGAGTTCAAGCCCCAGGATTAGCACACAAAAAATAAAAATAGGTTTATCATATTTTCTCTTATGTACATTTTTGTGATTATTTAGGAATGATAAGTGCTTTCTCAGTTGGAAAATTGTTTAATGCTTAAAGTTTATTTTTCTTTATAATCTTTTTTAGGAGCTGTGGCCCTCAAGAATCTTGAAATTAAAGAAAATGCCTTGGTAGGTTTTGTGATACTAGTGCATACACTACTATTATTATGTGTTTGTTGATTCCTCTTGTCACCATGGATTACTCAAGTTGGAGAAAATTTTTGGAAGTTACTTTTATAGAATGTGATTTTTCAGAAATAGAGTTATTTTATAAAAGTAAAATTGAAGAGTGTTTTTCCCATTTAAAATATTTATATTTTTGTTTATTCCTATATTTTACTTCAGTGATATGAAATGTATTCACATCTTGTATAACTGTAGTATCTATTTTCATAACTTTTCACTCCCCAAGAGAGTCACTTTGTAAAGAATAATCTCATAAATAATAGCTTTCCCTCCTTTTCCCCATTGATCATGGACATTGTTCTCCATTGCACACTGAAAATCTTTCTCTAGTGCCATAATGTTCCTGTTCTGTATTTCATATACATTGTATCATAGCATATTTGTCCATTTATGTCTATATTGATTTGTGTAGCATAATGCTTTGTAGGATCCATCTATACCGTATGATGTATCAGAACATCATTTATTATTCCCTGAATAATACTCCATTCTGTGTTTATACCCCATTTTGTTTGTATGTTTAGCTACTGGTAAATGTGTGTTTTTTTCCTGCCTCTCATTTTTTGAACAATACTGCAATGAATATTTGTGTATATGTGTTGATTCTACACTTCTGTTTCTCTTTGGAAATATATATACTGAGGAAAATTGTTGGATCATATAATTCACAATTAGCTTTTCAAGAAGACTTTTTCATAGCCATCATGTCCTTTTGATTCCCTCCAACAACAGACAAGGTGTTTCTAGTTTTTATTTCCCAGATCATTCAGAGTCTGTTATTTTTACCCCCTTTGGTTCAGCATCCTAATGAATATGAAATGGCATCTTAGTATTTTTGTTAACATTTCCCTAATGACTAGTGATGTTGAGTGTCTTTTCATATACTTGTTACCATTTGTATATGTTTTTTGTCATTTTTAAATCAGATTTTTTTGCATAATATAAATGATAAGCAAATGTTACCTCCATTCAAAAAGTTGTCCTAATAACCATATCTTGATAGTGTCTTTTTATGCACAAAAACTTTTTATGTAATCCAGTTAGCCTATTTTTAAAATTAACCTATGCTTTCATTGCATTTCTGTGAAATCAGTACCAAATTTAATGTCAGAAATTATTTTTTCTTATATTTTCCTATGTTTTATACTTACAGCTCTTGTGTTTAGATTTTTGATCCATGTTGGATTACTTTGCATACATAGCATTAGAAAAAGTCCAACTTCATATTTTGTAACTGGAAATCTACTTTTCCTAGCACCACTTTATTGTAAAGGCTGCCTGGAATAGTTCTAAAATGACTACTTTGTAAATCATGAATTTTATTCTATAAAGTTTTAATTTCTAACCGCAGAAACTAAGGGGAATTTCTCACCTGTAAAAGAAAATAATATAAGCTGGACACTTGAGAGACTAATATATCAGGAAGATTGTCGCTCAAGACCAGACTGGGCAAAAATTTTGTGAGGCCTTATCTTGACCAATAGAAAGCTTAGCATGGTAGTTCACACTTGTCATTTCAGCCATGCATGAAGTATAACTAGGAGAATTGTGGTCAAAGCCAGAGAAGGGAAGATATGAGGCTCTGTTGAAAAGATAACAAAAGCATAAAGGTCTGGGCTTATGTTTGGGCTAGCAAGTAGCACACCCTGAGTTCAAACCCCTGTACTGACGAGTAAAACAGTTATGAAAGAAACCTTTATGAACTTTAAGTTGAAAATAATTGTAATTATACATATACGTTTGTGTATTATATGTGTGTATATGTACATATATAATATATATATATATATGTCCATATAAAACAATTTTTTAAATCTTCTGTAGCCATAGGTTGAATCTGGAACCTTTTACTTGCTAATCCAGCATTCTACCACTTAATTGAACCATCCCACTAGTTCCTTTTTGCTTTGGTTTAATTTTTAGATAGGCTCTCATTTTATGCGTAGGCTGGCTTGAACAGTGCTTTCCTGCATCACTGAAATGACAGGTATGTGCCAACATACCCAGTCATTGGTTGAGAATGGAGTCTTGTGAATTCCGTCATCACTAGACTCAGGTGATAATTGACCTCTGTCATAGCTTCCCAAGTAACTAAGATTACACATTTGTGCTACAGCTTCCAGCTTACATTTTAGTAAGGTTAAATAACTGTTGGAGGTAAAAAGAAGTTGCAATGTAATTTTTAAATCCTGCAATTGATTTGGTGAAGGAAAAAAGCAGCTTATATTGTGAACTTGCTATGTATTCTTTACATATTTTACTGATTTTTGTTTTTCTTTGTAGAGTCAACTGGATGTACCATTCAAAGTTAAAGTTGGTCATATAGGTAAACCATATTTATTACTAGAATATTTTCTTGGTGGACATGCAAAAAATAATCTGGCTAGTATCTAATGTTTCTAAGAATTAATGGAAGTTTTTGTAGTCATGTGCTGTTGTTTAGGTGGATCTTAAAATATTGTCAGATTCATATATTCCTTGTCTAGTGCTTGGTATCTGTGTAATGAAGAAATGAGGGAGGGAGGGCATGTTATCAAGTTTTAAAATTGAGTTGAGAGCCAAGTCATTGCATGTAACAGAAACATGAAGTTCTCTAGCTTTCTGACTAATTACTTTGCTATGATTTGACTCATAGAGGATATGTGGCATACAGAGAAAGGTAGGGATCAGCCAGGCGCTGTGCCCAGAGGCCCCTCGAAAAACTTGTTTTTGTTCCAGTTTTCCTAGGTTTCCTAAGTCTATTTCCTTACCGTATTTTTGTGTTTGTTTCTCTCTCTGTGTGTCTTTGTCTCACTCTAATTTCCTCCTTTCCTTCCTTTCCTCCTATCTCTCCTCCTCTTATCTCTCCTCACTTTTCTTTTTTGGTGGTACCAGTATTTGAACAGTGTTTGAGTCATTTGCTCTTCAGCTTGCTTACTTGCTTTTGCTCGCCTACTTGATTGTTACCTCCAGTCTGGCTTTTTGCTGGTTATTTTGGAGATGGAGTCTTTTCTGCTCAGGCTGACTTTGAACTACAATCCACATTATAGCCTTTTGAGTAACTAGGGTTATAGGCACAAGCCACTAGTGCACAGCTTATATTACCTGCTTTTATAGTTTACTGGTTGAACTGAAATCTATGTATTGTTTAAATACGTTTAATAAAAACTTGTTCGTGGTGCTGGGAAGGTGGCTCAGTAGTAGAGTGCTTGCCTTGCATGCATGAGGCCCTGGGTTTGATTCCTCAGCACCACATAAGCAGAAAAAGCCGGAAGTGGTGGCACTGTGACTTAAGTGGTGTAGAGCACTAGCCTTGAGCTGAAGAGCTGAGGGATAGTGCCCAGACCCAGAGTTCAGGCCTCATGACTGACAAAAAACCAAAAACAAAAAACTTGTTTGTTATGATTCTTAAACTATGTTGCATGGAAAATGATGGTGTATTTGGGACTTGAGGTATTTTTGTTATTAAGGAAGTTTGCATAGTAGGATTTATATAATGTTTCTGAGTCTATATTGGTGCACACGCATCAGCGCGCACACACACACTTTCTTTTAGAGCCTGTCTACTTTCTTTTCTTCTCTGATGATTCCTAAAATGCTAAGGCTGTTTTAACTTGTAATCTAAAATAGTGGAAAGTAGAGTAGACTAAACACAAGATAAATTTGAGATTTAAAATGGTGCTTGCACACATTTCTTACAATACCTATTAATCTTTGATAGTATGGTATTATATGATTTACTATAATTATAGTATGGTGTTTTATGAATTGTTTTCTTCTACTAGATACCAAGTTCTTTGGAAATAAGTGGTTTTGATTTATATTGTATTTTTATTACTTAGCATATTATCTGGTATAGAAATGAAAAAAAGGGCACATTTCCAAATGAGCAGTATGATAAAACAGTTCATTTTGTTAGACTGTGTTGTCCCATTGCCATTGTTTGGGTACTGTTTGTCCAGTGATCATCTTAAAACTCTTCAGTGATTCATAGAAAATGGATTGATGGTAAATGTAGGCTGGATTAATAGTTTGCATCCTTATTTTTAATATAGGTGATCTGAAACTTATAATTCCATGGAAAAACCTTTATACTCAACCAGTTGAAGCTGTTTTAGAAGACATTTATTTACTCATAGTGCCTTTTTCTAGTAAGTCAATTATTTACTCTTTTGTAAATGAAAACTCTCAATATTTGGTAAATATTTTTCAATAGCATGATTTTTGGGAGTAGTGTGAAATACGTTAATATTTAAATTTGGTACTTGCTATTTATTTTACTTTATTTTTTTGGTGCCAGTGCTGGGCGTGGAGTCATGGCCTTGCACTCTTGCTTGGCTTTTTCATTGAAGGCAAGCACTCTACCATGTGAGGCACAACTCCACTTCTGACTTCTTAGCTAATTTGAGATAAGAGTCATGAAGTTTTCTGCTCTAGCTGGCTTTGAGCTGTGATCCTCAGATGTCGGCCTCCTAAATAGCTATGATTATAAGTGTGAGCCACCAGTGTCCTATATGATTTAGTCATTATTTTGATTGATATTATGATTATTTTCAGTGATATTTTGTGGAATGAGGGTTTAAATGAAAGGTAACTAAGATTCTTATTTATGCTTGTTATAGGAATAAAATATGATCCTTTAAAAGAAGAAAAACAACATATTGATGCAAAACAACAGGAATTAAAAAGAATAGAAGAAGCAAAACGAAAAGTAATAGATCAAGGTAAATCAAATAATAACAATGGCAAATAAGGAAAGATTAAAAGTCCTAAAAGTTTATCCTAACAGAATACTACCTTTCTCTAGATGTTCTGAGATCATTTTACAAACCATTAGAGACTCTTATTATATGGGGATTTCATGGCTCATATGTGTACAGAAATTGAAGTCAATGGCCAGCAGAGTTTTTGTTATCTATTTTATTTATAAATTATCTATCATCTTTGCCTTGGGGATTGAACCCAGGGTATAACACTTTTGAGGAAATATTCTTTCTCACATCAGTCACACCTGTCCATTTTCGGTTTGCAATTTTAAACAATAGCAATTATGTTTATCAAATAGAATTTATCTTTTTAGCCATTGCTTTTGTATTTCCCTTAATATAAATTCTTTATCCTTTTGAGGACACTTAGTTCTTTGAGACAGTTATGCTTGATTTATTTTATATATATGTTTTCCTTCTCAATCTAGACCATATGATCCTCTTACTTAGAACCCTTTTTCATCACTGCAAAAAGTGTCTTACAGAAATTGATTGTGTTTCCATCTGTCCTCTTCTCAGTCTCCAGCAACCCTCATATTCTGACTCACTTCTCCCCCTAGTGGTGCTTTCTTTTTGGTTTATTTATCATAGTCTCATATTTTTATTTTCAATTCTGGCCTTGTGCTTTCTAGACATGTTATGTACCTCATGAGCCACACTCTTAGCCCTTTTATTTGTATTTTGCTTTTTAAGATAAATCTTACTTCTTGTGTTGTCTTTAAATTTTCAGTTCTTCTGCCTCTACCTTCCAATTAGTTGAAATTATAAGCATTGAAATTATAATCATGTCTTACTATGCCTGACTTCACCACTTCTTATTTTAAAACAGTCATCTTCCTGACCTAATTCATCAGTTTTTATTTGCTTCCTCTTTTCTTCATTAAATAGCTAAGAAGCATCTTAAAACTAAGTGCAACTTAGCTACTTAGGAAGCTACGATCTGAGGATTGTGGTTGAAAGCCAGTCTGGGCAGAAAAATCTTGCGACTGTTATCTCCAGTTAACTACTAAAAAGCAAGAAGTATAGATGTGGCTCAAGTGGTAGAATGCCAGTGTTGAGTGGAAAAGCCAAGTAAGAGCATAAGGCTTTGAGTTCAAGCCCCAGAACTGGCACTGGAAAAAAAAGTATATGTATGTTGATCTCTGCCATGTATTTTTTTTTTTTTTTCGTCAGTCGTGGGGCCTGAACTCTGGGCCTAGTTGCTGTCCCTCAGCTCTTCAGCTCAAGGCGAGCACTCTACCATTTGAGCCACAGCGCCACTTCTGTCTTTTTCTGCTTATGTGATACTGAGGAATTGAACCCAGGGCCTCATGCATGTGAGGCAAGCATTCTATCACTGAGCTACCTTCCCAGCCATGTATTGGTTTTTTTAAGTGAATAATAAACCTCAATAAATATTTTACCTATTGACAAGCATGGAGTTTTAACACAGTTTCTAGCAATACCATGTATAATTCTATTTTATTAGTCACATTTCTTTCATATCTTGTGCAGTCATTTATGTCTATCCTTAATCCCATTTTCTAAGTCCCATAGCATAGGCTTTTTTCTTTCAAAAATTGCTTTCTAATCTTTTATATATCAAGATTATATACATATATATTTTAAAATTAAATAATATAATTTAAGAACATAAAAAGTCTGTAGTACTAATAGTTTTGCTTAAAACTATTAGTTGGTTTATTGCATTTATACTATGTGTATATGTTTATTTTTATGGTGGATTGTGAAGATTGACTACTGAGCCAAATAGTATACTCTTCATATATATTTTATAGCACAACTTTGTTATTTGCTCAACAATAGTGAGAGAGAGAGAGAGAGAGAGAGAGAGTGTGTGTGTGTGTGTGTGTGTGTGTGTGTGTGACTGTGTGACTGTTTATAGACTTTTATATGACTCCTGTTTTGGTGTGGGGACTTAATTCTCCTTCCTTGTATAGATGGTTACACCTGTTTTCTGTACAATAAACCCTTGAACTCTCACTAGGTTGAAAAATGAATAGTTGCTTGGCTGGGAGAAAGAGGGATCCTAGAGGTTTCACTGTGTTTTTTTTCAGAGTTTTTTAATTTATATTTTGAAATTAAAATTTTTTTTATTATCTTTAAGTAGTTGTACAAAGAAGTTCCAGGGCTGGGAAGGTGGCTCAGTGGTAGAGCGCTTGCCTTGCATGCTTGAGGCCCTGGGTTCGATTCCCCAGCACCACATAAGCAAAAAGAAAAAAGCTGGAAGTGGCACTGTGGCTCAGGTGGTAGAGCGCTAGCCTTGAGCTGAAGAGCTGAGGGACAGCGCTCAGGCCCAGAGTTCAGGCCCACTACCGGACCCAAAAAACAAAACAAAACACAACAAAGAAGTTCCCATTCTCCAAAACAGTGTATGAGGGGCTGGGAAGGTGGCTCAGTGGTAGAGTGCTTGCCTTGCATGCATGAGTCCTTGGGTTCTATTCCTCAGCACCACATAAGCAGAAAAAGCTGAAGTGGCACTGTGGCTCAAGTGGTAGAGCGTTAGCCTTGAGAGAGCTGAGGGACAGCGCCCAGGCCAAGAGTTCAGGCCTCACAACCGACAAAAAATAAAAGAAGTGTATGAGTATAAAGTGTCTGACAACATTGTCACCCATCTCTCTTAACCCATCCCTTCTCTCACTTTTTTTTTTTCAGAGTTTAAACCAATTCTTGTATTATGTTCTTCATCAGCATGTTCTCTGATGGTTTTGTGAACTGTCAAAGTTTCTGAATCTTTCAGGATTCTGTTTTAATCTTACCTTGTGTTCTAATAATATCTCTATAGTCAAACAAGATTGAGTTTCTTCTTTAAGCTAATTAAGGCTGTCTGCTTTATTGTTTCTATGTTATTGTTTGTTATTTCTACTATCTTCTTTGGCCTGGAGGATTTACTTGCCCCATTTTTTTCTGCTTTAATGACTTTTTGGGGGATAGAGAAAAATGTATGCAATCAGCTATAAGTTCCTCCTTGTTTATATGTAGATATAAAATATAAATCTTTAGTCATGCTTAAAATTACTTAAAAATTACTGATATTCTTATTTTTACCTATGAATTATGTATTAACAATTCAACAGGATGTATAGAAACTCTTGATTTGAATCCTGTCTCACTCTTGAACCTCATAACTGGTTTATCTGCTGTTTTTTTGCTCTGAGCATACTGAATTACTTGCTGATTTACTGAACATATCTCAGCATTTCACGTTTTCCTTTATTAGTATTTATTTGAAAATTATTAGCATTAGGATGAGAATTAAGGCTATAAAATGTGGATGAGGTTTCATGCAGCAGCAATATTATAGGATGAGAAGAGCAACAATTCTATACCCTGCATGAAGGAAATGGCTAAAAACCCAGACAAGAGTGAGCACATAGTAGACATTGAATTCATGGCTCCATGGCAAAAAGTGCTGTAAGAAGAAGCACCTAATAGATCAGATATTAATGAATTGTTACATAAGATAATCCAGGATTAAGAAATGTTTTTGTAGTCATGTCAGTGGCTCCCGACTGTAATCCTAGCTACTCAGGAGGCTGAGATCTAAGGATTGAGGTTCAAAGCCAGCCCCCGCAGGAAATGCCATGAGCCTCTTAACTCCAATAAACTACACAGAAAACCAGAAGTGCTGCTGTGGCTCAAGTGGTAGAGTGCTCATCTTGAGCTGAAGAACTGAGGAATAGTGCCCCAGAGTTCAAGCCCCACGACCGACCAAAATAAAAGAAAAAAAGGAATTCCTTTGTTTCTGACATGTGGATCAGTGGTCATCTTAGAAATAGTTAATTTCATTGAGTTACAATAGCAGAGCTTTTATCTTCCCATAGCGCTTCTTTCTTTGAAAATTGGAAACAAAGTTAAAATTCTTTAGCATATGGAAGTATTGTTAAAACTTTGGGCAAGAGTGTACATGAATTTTAAGGTAGTTGTAAAGAATATGAACATGTTGCCAGGGAAATGTAAGGCTGCTTTTAGCTGAAGATCATAAAGACTACACTGATTTTAGGCTGTCCTGATTTTAGTATTTAACTTAGCAAGGCACAGGTAGGCATAGGCATGATGGTTTTGTTTTTGTTTTTTTGGTCTGCCATGGTGCCTGAGCTCTGGGCCTGGGCGCTGTCCCTCAGCTCTTCAGCTCAAGATTAGCACACTACCACTTGAGCCAAGCGCCACTTCCGGCCTTTTTCTACACATGTGTTGCTGAGGAATCGAACCCAGGGCCCCATGCATGTGAGGCAAGCACTCTACCACTGAGCCACCTTCCCAGCCCCGGCACGATGGTTTTATACAAAGTAGTAGTTGGGTTTTTTTCAGAGTTGGGATCTTATGGATGGAGGAAAAAGAAAGCAAAGCAATTTTAGATGAACTAATGTTCGTAGGTTTCCCCTTATCTGTAGAGGTAGGTTTTATGACTCCCAGGGGGGTATGGGAAACCATGCATAGTACACAACCCTGTGTATAGTATGCTTTGTATGGCAAATTTTAATTTAGGAACAGTAGGAGATGAATAATAATAAAAGAAAGGCAATTATAGCAATATAAACAGTTATGTGAAGGTAGTATCTGTGTCTTGAGGAAGTCAAGTAGAGATTGGTATTTCTGGATCTGGTTTACTCTTGGTAACTGAAATCATGAGAAGCACAATGAAGATAATGGTGCACTGCTGAACCGTAGGACTTGAGCTGCATAAGGAAGTCAAGGGGAGGCTAGTGGCAGGGAAAGAAATAATGTAGTATTGAATTCTTAAGAGCAATGGATTTTATTATGTAGTGATAGAATTAAAAGCTTAAAATAGGGCTCTTTCTCCTCATAGGGCGTATATATTTTGTTTGGTTTTACTGAATTTTATATTGTCTACATAAAAGATTACTGAAAAGGAGGGTAAGACTAGAAATACAAAAAGAATAGTTTTTTATGGTCATTTAGGAAAAGAGAAAATGGAAAAGGGATGATAACTAGTAGTTGCCAAAAATGTGTTCACTATTCCCCTGGAAAGTGTTGAAACTGGCAGTAACTAAAGTTTTCTTAAAATGAATCAAATAATGAATTTTTTAATCCTTGTTTAAAAAGGAGAGGAGAACATGCTATTTCTCATTTCATACATACTGAAAAAATTCACATCTGAGTACAAACAACTTATAATGGCATCACTAATTTCAAAGGAGATTCTTACTTTGCTGCTGCTACTAGTTTTCCTAATTTAAGTCTATTATAATTCCTACTTAATAATCTTTATTGTTCTTAAATCTTTATATATTTAAGAATAGTTAAAAGATACAGATTATAATATGTAATACCAGTAAATTGGTTTTGCTGAACAACAAACTAGCTTTTGAAAAGATAGGACATTCAGTTATCTTTGAAAATCTGTGGTATAAAAGACTTTTGGAAAGCATGCTATTAGTGTTCTAGTTACACATTTACATATATAAATTCTTTAACAAGACATTATGTTACCTTGTTATGTAGGTATTTATAGGTATGTGTTTTATTCAAGTCCTAAAAAAGGGAATATTTGCAATTGTAGAGCATCAGGAGGAGAAACAGGACACTTTCGCAGAAAAATTAGTTACTCAGATCATAAAAAATCTTCAAGTGAAAATTTCCAGCATCCATATTCGTTATGAAGATGATGTAAGTATTTTACTAGAAGATCTTTATTTTTTGAAATAATTTTTAAAATTACCTTTAGGTAGTTGCACAGAGAGTTTCAATTCAACACAACAGTTTATGGATAAAATGTATCTTGATCAATGCTTTGCCTTCCACAGCAGAGATCTTTAAATTATCTTGCCCATGTAATTGTAACCCCTCCGTATGGTATTTTCACAATAAAAAAATGGAAAAAAAATACCTTTATATGTTGGGTATTTACTGTTAGATCTTACTCATAGTGTCCAACCTATTAAATAAATGGTGGGAGGTAGAGAGATAGGGAGCTGAAGATTACATGATTTTTTAATATAATGACACTGGTAATTATATCTTTGATATCTTTGATATAGTTTGTTTAAGCTACTCACACTTCAGATCATGAAGGAAAATGCTCTAGGAATTAGGAATTTCACGGTTGTGTGTTTTATCTCCTGGAAAGAGCACTGGTCTAGGAGTCAGTAGAGCTAGACTTACTGATCTTTCAGAAAAATTAGTTTAGTCTCTAAACAAATAATTATATGCCTTACAGTATAATGCTAATCTTTTTTATAAGCTTTTAAAATAAAAAACTACAGCTATTATAGTATGATGCCAATAACTAGCATTTCAGTTTATTTTATGAAAAATAAAAATTCTAAAAATATTTTTGAATATTTGAAATAGAATACTTCCCAGAAAGTTATTTTTTATAAAGCAATTCTTGTACAAATGTTAAAATCATTTAAGTAATTTATTTTCTTCTTAGGTCACAAATCGAGACAAACCACTATCATTTGGTATTTCCCTTCAAAATCTCAGTATGCAGGTATGTAGTTTAAAATAGAAACCTAACCATATTGTACAGAATAGTATGGTCAAACTATTCATTGTGATTCCTGTATGCCAGCATCAGAAATATGTATGCCTTTGGTTGTCTATATAGAATTGGTGTAGAAAGGACATAGAGTGGATTGAAATTAAGAGGTAAGTAGATTCATATTTCAAAAAAACCATGGTTGGCGATAATGCTGGGTATGGTATCCTACCACTTAGGAGCTGAGGCAGGAGGGAGTACCTTGAGGTCAGCCTAAGCTGTAGATGGGCTTATTGGTGAGACCTCCTCAAAAAATTAAAGAGGAATGAAAAGGTTGGGAATCAAGCTCGGGTAGAACATGAAGGGGGTGCAAGGTAGTTATGATATTAAATACTTCTGTTTATTCAAAATCATTTTCTTTCCAGTACTGAAAAAAATCTATTTCCAAATTTTCAGTGAGTTAAAAGTAATATCCATTTCTGAAATTTTGATGTTTTAAAAGCATAAAAAGCATTTTGAAGTGGAAGGTTTTGTTTTTGTTTTTTTTGGCATGGAGGGGCATTATTAGGGTTTGAACTTAGGGCTGTGCACTTATTAGGGCTGGTGCTCTACCACTTGAGCAATATCTCCAGCTCTCCTTTTTTTGCTGATTATTTTCATGATAGAGCCTGGCCTTTCCTTAAATCTTGATCCTTTTGATCTCAGCTCCCAAGTAGCTAGTGTTCTAGTCAGGAGCCACCAGTGCCTGATTAGAAGTGTAAGGAGCACACAGAATATTACAAAATATTTGTCTGCATCCAGGATGCTATGTTTTAAATATTTTTTATTGGACTGAATTATTATCGCTGAAAATTTAAATCCCCTTTCCCTACTCTGACCGACTTTCTTTTCCAGAGATGATAATCTTCTTTTTTTTTGCCTAGTCCTGGAGCTTGAACTCAGGGTCTAGACACTGTCCCTGAGCTTTTTTGCTCAAGGCTATTGCTCTTCCACTTGAGTCACAGCTTCTTTTTTGTCAGTCTCACAGATTTTCCTATTCTGGCTGGCTTCGAACTGCTATCCTTAGATCTCAGCCTCCTGAGTAGGATTCCAGGCCTGATCCACCAGTGTCCAGCTGTTGCATTTTACTTTGTTTTTAAAAGGCTGGGGATTGAACCCAGAGCCTTAGGCCTCCTGGGTCAGTGTTATCCCACTGAGCTACAGCCTCTACCCAGCATTTAAGTTTGTAAACTGTGGTGTAATATATCCACTTAAAAATTTAGATGTGGGGCTGGGAAGGTGGCTCAGTGGTAGAGCGCATGCCTTGCATGCCAGAGGCCCTGGGTTCGATTCCTCAGCACCACATAAGCAAAAAGAAAAAAGCCGGAAGTGGTGCTCTGGCTCAAGTGGTAGAGTGCTAGTCTTGAGCTGAAGAGCTGAGGGACAGCGCCCAGGCCTAGAGTTCAGGCCCCATGACCGGACCCCCCCCCAAAAAAAAGAAAAAAAAATTTAGATGTTAGCTGTGAGCCAGTGGCTCACACCTGTAATCCTAGCTACTCAAGAGACTGAGATCTGAGGATCATAGTTCAAAGCCAGCCCAGGCAGAAAAGTCCCATGAGACTCTTACCTCCAATAAAACCACCAGAAAACCGGAAAGTGCTTAAAAGTTTACATAAGTATTTTGTATGATTCTTCTGTAAGTTACTTTAAAAAAATTTCAGTGATGGAACTCCACAGGGCTTGTTTTCCAAAGAAAAGTGTACCATTTAGAGAAATACAAATAAACTTCCCTAGATGTTGTGTTAAAAAAATTATTTGTGTTGCCACAGGATAAAATTCAGTTCAGTTTCAGTGTAGTTTTTTTTTAATCTTGTATTTTTGGTTTATGTGTGAAAATTTTTTTTTAAATTTTATTGTAAAGGTGATGATGTTGAGACCCAGAAATCTTTTTTTTTTTTTTGGTTCTGCCATATGGGGACAAGCTTTCTACTAAAACACCAGCCTGTAATATGTTTTAAAAATCCCTTTTGGCAATCCTAATGAATGCTGACGTTCGAGGACCACTATTTCAGTTCTCCACAGAAAAATAGCTATCTTGGATGGGCACCACTTAGGAGTCTCAGGCAGGAAGATTATGAGATCAGAGCTTGCCTGAGACACATAGATCTTTTTCCAAAATAAAAAAGGAAAGAAAAGGAAAAAGCTTTGATTAGTTCTTAGTGTCTCTCCCTCTTCCTCTTTCTTTTTTTTTTTTTTTGGGTCTGGTCATGGGGCCTGAACTCTGGGCCTGGGGGGGGTCCGGTCGTGGGGCCTGAACTGTGGGCCTGGACGCTGTCCCTCAGCTCTTCAGCTCAAGGCTAGCACTCTACCACTTGAGCCACAGCGCCACTTCCAGCTTTTTTCTTTTTGCTTATGTGGTGATGAGGAATTGAACCCAGGACCTCATGCATGCAGGGCAAGCGCTCTACCACCGAGCCACCTTCCCAGGCCACTCTTCCTCTTTCTTGCTTTCTCCCTCTTTCTTTCTGTCTCCCTTCTTTGCCCTCTTCCTCTCTCTTTCCCTCTCTTCCTCTCCATCTGTCTCTCCTTTTTCCCCCCCCAGTGTTTTGGTTTGAACCCAGAACCATACTTACATTATGCCCTAAGAGTATCCCCTGGTACTTCTCAGTGACTGTCTGGGTGTTTGTGTGTGCACACATGCTGGGGCTATGGCTTGAACACAGGACCTGGGTGGTAGTCTTAGCTTTTTTGCTCAAGGCTAGTGTTCTACCACTAGAGCCACAGCTCTACCTCCAATTTTTTGGTGGTTAATTGGAGATTAAGTCTCATGGGCTTTCCTGCTCCTTCTGGCTCTGCACTGGGATCCTCAGATTTCAGCCTACTGAGTAGCTAGAATTACAGGCATGAGCCACCGGGTGCCCAGCTCCAAGTGGCTTTGGATTGCTCTTTAAATAAAATCTGTAAAACCTTTGTAATCTGACCATAGGTAACCTAACTGGCTTTATCTCCTTTCTTTGCTTTGGCCATTCTGATCTATTTTAAGGACTTGAACATAGTATATTTGCATATCATTGGGCCTTTACACCAATTCTTTTGCTTTGAATCTCAGTCCTTCCTTAGAATCAATAGTTTCTAATCATGTCATATATTAATTAGGGTAGTGATAAAGCATACTTTCAGTGATCATTTTTATAAGTTCATTACTATGTTACTCATTTTATGTGACACACTCCTGATTTTGATGTTACTGCTCTGTTCTCTGATGTAAGTGTATTTGAATCTCTATTCTGACACTTATTTGTAATTGCTTGTTTCTGGTCTCTACCCTCTGCTCCCTCCTTCCCCTCTTGGCCTCTTGTTTGTTGGGCAGTCCCTCTACTACTTGAACTATGCTCCTAGTCTTTTGTCTTTAGTTTGTTTTTCAGATAGTCTTTGCCTAGGCTAGCTTCTGTTTCATGTTCTCCTCTCTCTACCTCCAGAGTAGTTGGGATTGCAGACATGATACACTAAATCCAGTTGGGTTAGAATTTTTTTTTGGGGGGTGTCCGGTCTTGGGGCCTGAACTCTGGGCCTGGGGGGGGTCTGGTTGTGGGGCCTGAACTCTGGGCCTGAGCGCTGTCCCTCAGCTCTTCAGCTCAAGGCTAGCGCTTTACCACTTGAGCCACAGCCCCTCTTCTGGCTTTTTTCTTTTTGCTTATGGGGTGCTGAGGAATTGAACGCAGGGCCTCATGCATGCAAGGCAGGCGCTTTACCACTGAGCCACCTTCCCAACCCCTGGGTTAGAATTTTTTACCAGAAATGTGGTCCTTTAAAGTAGAATTCTCTTGCGGTCACATTATTAATAGCCTTTGATTGAGGGATATATTTTCAAAGGCATTTTCATGAGAAATTGTTTTTAAGTGTATGCTCCATAGATGACTTATCACCTTCATTTTTAATGCAGTAATCTTTTTGCTGTATTTCTTTCCTTTTCAGACAACTGATCAAAACTGGATACCATGTTTACATGATGAGACTGAGAAACTAGTTCGGAAGGTAAAATAAATGAATACATGCTCATGAAGTTAATAAAAGAAACCTTTAGAAGACTGATACTATATTTATAGTTAAGATTTATGTGAAGTGTGTTTTGTTCCCTTAACTCTGTGATAGAGTTCACTTGAGACTTCTGAAAATATCATATGTTAAAATGTTTCAGAAAAAAGCCAGACGTATAATAAATTTGCTTTATTTTCAGTTAATCCGATTGGACAATCTTTTTGCCTATTGGAATGTGCAGTCTCAAATGTATTATCTTAATAATTATGATGAGTCATTGGTAAGTAAATTGTTTTAATTTGTGTATATGTATATTGTTATATTTTTATCAGGCATATTAGTAACATTAGAGTTGATATTATTTTCTAAGCAAGATGTTAGAATTTATAGGTATAGATGAATTACATGAACATGTATACATATCTTAATTATAACTCCTTGAACATTATTTTATAACAGTTTAATGACACATTGTTTAGCCATATTCATATTTTGTTCTAACAAAGTCTTGCCACATTTGAATTTAAGCATTTTCTCTTGCAGATTATAGAATTTTATAGAATAAGATATGTTGTCATGAATGTACATAAAAGCAATTTGTCTTTTAATAGGACAGTTTGAAGTCTGGTATTGTCAAGGAAGATATTATTCCTGATGGGTATGATTTTGGTAAGTGTTTTCCATACATGGGGCTGGGAAGGTGGCTCAGTGGTAGAGCACTTGCCTTGCATGCATGAGGACCTGGGTTCGATTCCTCAGCACCACATAAGCAAAAAGAAAAAAAAGCTGGAAGTGGCGCTGTGGCTCAAGTGGTAGAACAATAACCTTGAGCTGAAGAGCTGAGAGACAGTGCTCAGGCCCAGAGTTCAGGCCCCATGACCGGACCCACCAAAAAACAACAAAAAACCCATAATAAGTATAAATTTTACATTAACATTAATGAAATGACTGATTTTATGTTTTTTGAGCAAGTACTGATGAAGTAAACAGGCAAAGGAGTTAGAGGTTAATGCAGAGAATTTGTAAGATGACTGATAGTATCATAAACTATTTTGTTACTAAGACAACAAAATATTACCTTTTTATACAAATTACCTTATAATTGATTGGCGAATAGGTGATCTCTATCTAGAAGGTATAGTACTGGTCTCCTGTACTTATTTTAATCTTTTTGGCAGTAGGAATGAGCCAAGCAGGAAATCTGCAGTCATTTTACTTTTCTATTTTATAAATTAAAAGGAGAATAAATAGAGAAATGTGGGGGGGGGTTTGTGTGTGTGTATGTGTGTGAGAGAGAGGGGGGAGGGAGGAATGGAGAGGGAGAGAACAAATGGGAGTTAAGGTTTTACAGAATAAATCCCCTAAAAGGGCATTTACAGAGCCATGCCCTAGAGGGTTTCCTGCTTTCACCCAGGCCATCCACAAACTGTGTACCTCCATCTCCCAAAGGTGGGCACTACCATGCCAGGCCCCATGACTTAGAAAGCTTATAATCACAGAATGAGAGTCATTGTAGGATTGGAGGTATGGCTCAGTTGGGAGAATACTAGCCAATGAGTTGAAAGTGTCAAGTTCCAAGTTCAAGTGCCCGTTTCTGAACAAAATAAAAAGTCATTATTAAGTATAATCGTTTTTCCTCTTAACATTTCTAATACTTGTTGTTTAGAACTATAATTGCTTGGTTCTGGGGATTGAACTTGGGTTTGACAAACTCAGGGCTTTGTACTCTCACTAAGCTTGGTTGCTTATAGCTGCTGCTCTTCTACTTGAGACATGCCAAGTTAATTGGATATGGAATCATTTCTCTCCTGGCTGGTTTGAGCCATCATCTTCTGCGTCTCAGCCTCTTGAGTAGCTAGGATTGTAGTTGTTCTTTTACTAAAACTATTTTATTGTACTATTTTCCTTAATAAGCTACTGCTTTTAAAGGTTATGTCAATATTTTGAGAGGGAATTTAGTTATCCTGTAAAGAAGTTAGTGGGAATTGTAAGTTGGAAAAAGATAAGAGAATGGTCTCCACTAATTAAGCAACAGTTTAAACAAATGATGATATTATGGACATTCAGGAGCTACAGAAAGGGTGTAAAAGAAATGAAAATTAGTATTTCCAGTTTAGAGTCTTGAGACTTTTGAAATACAACTGTTTAATTTTTAAAATTTGTATTATTTTCTAGTATTTCGCCCTATATCTGCTAATGCCAAACTTCAGATGAATCGCCGATCAGATTTTGACTTTTCTGATCCCAAGATAAACCTGGATGTTGAGTTACATAACATAGCAATTGAATTTAATAAACCACAGGTGATTTTCTCTAATGAAAATTTAAATTATGAACTAGTGTTAGAAATAAATGTTTTTCTAAAATGCATAGTTATACAGTAGCATTTCCTTTCAGAAGTTTAATAATTTAACTTTTCGTCTTCAACAATTGAACAAAAATTGTGGAACATTTAAGAGCTTTATTTTCCATTCTTTAGTATTTCAGTGTTATGGAACTTCTTGAATCGGTTGATATGATGACACAAAATTTGCCATATAGGAAATTCAAACCTGATGTGCCTCTTCACTACCATGCCAAGGAATGGTAAAATGCTTTTAAGTTTTTCTTTCTTAATATGTCAGAAAAGCCTGTTTCTTCATTTGGACAATAATTTATTAGGATACTTCTTAAGGTTTTCTCGAGTCTATGATACATTAATGGGAACACATGACTCCTTTTGCTTGTTGGTGAATTGATTAAAGGGATTCTTTGTAACAGAATTTATAACTTCAGATACTAAGACATCATAGTTTTCATTTAGTGGAGAGGGAGGGATCTCATTGTTTTTGTTTTCTATCAGTTTCTTTTTTTTTAAAATAGATTTCCCTATCAGACTCATTAAATCTATATTACTAAATTTATTTAAAATATAAAATGCAGTATAATCCTATTTTAAAACTCAAAAGTTTTATTTCTAAGCTTCATTCTGCTTTCTAGAAATTGCAATTATTTAAATTACTTAAGTTATTAAAATATCATAGTTATATAGAACTGTATTTTAAACAAAATTGATATTGCTTATTTTTGTGTTAGAGGTAAGAATAATAGATTGTTAAAATAAATAGGGCTGGGAAAACAAGAACTTAAGCTTTTAAAGGTTGTGTCAATATTTTGAGAGGGAATTCAGTTATCCTGTAAAGAAGTTATAGTTTTTGTTTATAGTTTCTGTATTATAGTTACGTATGTGAGAATAGCAGCATTATTAGTTATTTTCATATTGTTGATTTGAGGCTCTTCAGTATGGGGTTTCTTTTTTTTAACTAGGTGGGCTTATGCTATACATGGTATTCTTGAAGTAAATGTTTGCCCCAGTTTACGAATGTGGTCCTGGAAGCATATTAGAGAACATAGACAAAAAGTGAAACAATATAAAGAACTATATAGGAAAAAGTTAACAAATAAAAAGCCACCCAACGAAATTCTCATGTCTTTGCAGGTTAGTATTTTAAAGAAATCATTGCATATTTTCCTCTACAAAACTTCTCAATCTCTCATAATTATTCTTAATAATTTTACTGTAACTTTTACTGACTGTGTTTTCTCTTATATTGACATTTCCATGCATTTATTTGCTGACCAATTCTTAACTTGGTTAGTATAAGATCTTATGAAATTCTCCATGAGCTGGAAAATTTTAGATTATTTTTAATCTGCAGTGATTTAATATATACATAGATATACATTGATACATATAGGTACATATATACATGTATATACACTGTTATATACATATATATTATACATATGTATTATGTATGTAGAAACTTGAAGTCTTAATTTGACCATTTTTGACCTAAAAAGTCTAAAATGTATTTTCAGCATCATCTCTAAACTTCTTTGTATGAATTCAAAGCTGTACATATCTGTCAAAACTGCATCCTTGGTGTTATGTCTGTGCATTGAATAAGAAAGTTTTCTGTCTTACATATGATCAATATTACAAACATGTCTTGTGGTCCTTCATGCCATCAGTTTTTCCTCATTTAAGGCTGAAACTTGAAAATAATCATGGGAATACACACATATATGTTTTGATAGGCGAAATTATATATAATTTATATAAGCTAAATTAAATACATATATTTATAATTCAGCTTATTAATTATAGTGTTTCAGTATGAATAACTTTGAAAAATAAAAACTAAAACCATTTTGATAACTTTTAAAACATATCTAGGTCTATTTAGAATATCCTATATTATGATTTATGATTATACTTTTAGTTGAACATGACAATGATATCATTAGTTTAAAACCCAAATAAATCATTTTAAACAGTGTATGTATAGCATCTTTTAGTTTATCTTTTATTGTATTTTGCTAATTTCTGTGGCTCCTATGTTACCTTCCAGGATATAAGAGGTATTTCATATTACTAGCTGTTCTGTTTTTTGCTTGTTGTAATCTTTAGGGCTGTCATTTGATTTTATACTAAAGTTATTTCTGCAAATTAACTTTTTTTTATATTTTCAGGAGTTGGAAAAAACTTTGGATGTCTTTAATATAACCATAGCTAGACAGCAAGCAGAAGTTGAGGTAATTTCAGATTATCTTTCAATTAGAATAAATATGAACTCCACTTAAGACATTTCAGGAGTTGTAATGCTTGTCAGTATCATGCTATAAAGTACTGTCTCCTTTAAAGAGTTCAAATTTGTTTTTTCCATTTTAAAATATTTGATTTTTTGCCACATCCATTTTTGTTGTTGTTGTTGTTGTTGGTTGTGCTCAGAGCTAGCACTCTTAACCACTTGAACCACAGCGCCACTTCCCATTTTTGACTGGTTAACTGGAGATAAGAGTCTGATGGGAACTTTTCTGCTTGGGCTGGTTTTGAACCATAGTCCTCAGATCTCAGACTCTTGAGCTGCTAGGATTATAGGCATGAACCATTGGGTGCCCGGCTTGCCACATCCATTTAAATTAGACAAGTTTCTATAGAAAAATTCTTTGTAAATAATAATTGAGCTTATCAAATTTTCAGAGTTTGTAAGAATATGAAAAGCCAAGGCCTACTTTTCCCACTCCCATTACTGTCTTTGTAATACAGTAGGAAGAACCAAGATGCATTAGTTGTATAGGAGTGTGTTTCATTATATTTCCATATGTGCATTTCCCTTTCAGATTCATTCTGTCACTGTGCCTTATTCCTTTGCTCCCTTAACACAGTATCTGTAGGTTTCATTGATCTGTTTTCATACATATCAATAAATTATTTCAACCATATTCATACTGTTATCCTCCTTCACCCTCTTATCTTTCCTCTTCAACTGGTATCTACCCGTATTTGGCAAATATTGCAGTACTTGTGTTCTGTTAGTCGTTATATTGATAATGTTCATGTACTCAAGTAGATATTTTGGAAATTTCTTGCTACAATTTTTAATTTGCTAAAAGTGTCTTTGTCATCAATTTGAAAACCTTCATTTTAGGTAAAGAAAGCCGGGTACAAGATTTACAGGGAAGGCGTAAAGGACCCAGAGGATAACAAAGGGTGGTTCAGTTGGCTGTGGACTTGGTCAGAGCCAACTACCAAACAGCAACCTGACGTTAAACCTGGAAGTAAGTCTAATTCATTTTTAATGTGGTTAACATAGGAAAATCCAGTGTTTCATAAAAATTTCTTTCTGATGAAAACAAACTGTTAGTATATTTACTACTTAATTACTTTTCTTTTTAAATTTTTTTATTGTAAAAGTGATAGAGGGTTACAATTACATGTCAGGCAGTTAGTCCATGGAATAGAGTTTAAATTTATCAAAATTATTTTATAAATTTTTTTTTCTAGTACTGGGTTTGAACTTGTACTTATTAGAAAGTTCAAGAACACTTGAGCCACAGTCTAGCCCTAAAGCATTCTGAAATAAAATTGTTAAAATAGTTTTAAAAAAAAAATCTTATGTTGCCAGGTGCCAGTGGCTCATGCCTGTAATCCTAGCTACTTAGGAGGCTGAAATCTGAGGATCGTGGTTCAAAGTCAGCCCGGGCAGGAAACTCCATGTAATTCTTACCTCAATAAGCCACCAGAAAACTGGAAGTGGCACTGTGGCTCAAGTGGTAGAGTGCTCACCTTGAGCTAAAGAGCTCTAGGACAGTGCCCAGGCCCAGAGTTCAAGCCCCATGACCGACAAAAATAAAAAATAAATCTTATAGAATGTAATTAATGTGCATGCTTGCATGTAGTTAATGTGCATGCTCTAGTAATAGGTAAAATTTCAGAATAATCTGAGCATTTTTTTTGTTTTTGTTTTTACTTGTTTTGGAGTGTTGGGGAGTAAGCCCAAAGATTATTTTTAGACAATATAGAATTTCCAATACCACTCTAATATTTATTATTTCTTAGATGTATTATGAAAAAAACTAAATGGATTTCATTCAGAAAACCAGCTTAATTCTATGCTAGCTTTATGTTATTGGTTAAAACCATAAAGGATGTGTTTATGATTTATAGTTCTTGAAGAAATGCTGTCACCTGAAGAAAAAGCTTTACTATATGAAGCAATTGGCTATAGTGAAACAGCAGTTGACCCAACTTTGCCCAAAACAGTAAGCTATTTTCTTAATATTTGCAAGGTTAGTGTTAGATACACTTGTTTCGTTCAGAAGTGTGTGCTACTGACATTTTCTGTGATCTTTTCTGGTTCTCTAAATATTGTATTTTAATTTTCAAACTAGGAATAAAATTGTCCTTCTTGCAGTGAGTGTAGTGATTCTTTTATAAAGGGTTGAAATTAGTGGATTATTACATTTATTTTTTCATTTTCCCAATGTACTCTAGTTTGAAGCCATGAAGTTTTTTGTTCATTTGAAAAGTATGTCTATTGTTCTAAGAGAAAACCACCACAAACCTGAGCTGATAGACATTGTTGTAGAAGAATTTAGCACTTTGATTGTACAAAGACCAGGAGCACAAGCAATAAAGTAAGTATTATTTTCTCTACAAGTTAAGCATCCCTAAACTGAAAATCTGAAATCTTAAGTGCTCCAAAATTTGTAACTTTCTGACTGCTGAGATGACACTTAGTGGAAAATTTCCCTGCTGACCTCCAGAAACTGTGTATAAAATTTAAATGAACTTTACATTTAGGCTAGGGCCCAACCCCAAAGTAGCACAGCATGAATATGAAAATTTTCCAAAGTCCAAAAACCTAGAATCGTCTGATGCCAAGTTTTTCAATTGAATGATACTCAATTTGTATCTTTAAAAATTCACACTGAGGGTGAAGTTTAGGTCACAGGCTACTTCAGTCTTGCAAAGAGTATTGTGACTCAATATATCCTTTTGTGTTTTTAGAAGCTTCATTTTTAAAAAGTAAAAGACTATATTTTTTGAATTATTGTATTAATTACATATGTTCAATGGAAAACTGTATGTTGATAAAATATAGAACACTAAAAAAATGAAAAAGGTCAGCTGCACCATGCAAAAAAAGGAACAACAGTGATTTTTAATCTGGAGTGTCTCTATTTTACCTTTTTATTTTGTGTTGTTTCGAGGGAGTATCTTCCAGTGTAGCCCAGGCTGGCCTCAGACTAAATCCTCTTGCCTCAACTTCCCAAGGACTAGAATTGTAGTATGTATTGCCAACTCCATCTTTATTTTATATTTTGTTTTCAAAAACAGTTTTATTGAGATACAGTTCACATTTCTATAATTTAGAGTGCAGCTCACTGGTTTTTTTTACAACTATATTGTATATACCAATTACATTAGTATATTTGCAAGATTGTATAGTCATATCACTATCCTCTAATTCCAGAACATTTTAACACCCCAATGCTGGTTTTCCCATCCTTTGGCAGCAGATAAAAATTTATCTTCTACTTTTGACACTTTGTCTATTCTGGATATTTTATATGAATGGATAATATGTGGCTTTTTCTGTTTTTTATTTTTTTCACTTCACAGATGACTCTATGGTTAATTTATGTTAGAATATCAATTTATACTTCATTCTGGCCTAATAATAACCTTGCAGAGGTTTAACACAGTGTTTATTAATTCACCATTGATTGGATATTTGGGTTGATTTTACATTTTGACTATTGTGAATATTGCTATGAATAATCGTGGACAGTATTTTATTTGAATATAGATTTTAAATTTCTTGGGTGTATACCTTGGAGTGGAGTTGTTGCCTCATATGGCAACGCTGTGTTTAACTTTTTGAGGAATTGCCTAATTTCACTATTTTACATTCTTACCACCAATATGAGAATTAGTTTCTCCATATCTTCATCAGAACCTGTTATTGTTAGTCTTCTAGATTATAGCTATTTTAACTGATCATTGCAAAGTAGTATCTCATTGTGGGTTTGATTTCCGTTTCCTTCATGGTTAATGATGTTGGATAGTTCCTGTATTTACATGCATATCTTCTCTGGAGGAATGGCTATTGCATGTTTGTCCTATTAAAAAAAATAGAATCATCTTCTCCCTCTCTTCTCCCCTTTCCTCTTTGCTCTCCCCTCCTGTGTCCATCTCTTCCTTTCTTCCCCCCCCCCCCTGCCATCACTCCCCCTCCTCCTCTGTCACTTTCATTCTCCCAGAAGCACGTGAAGTCAAATTCAGGACCTTGCCAGTTGTGCAGTTGTGGCAGTATATACCTTGAATCCCTTCACTCAGAAGGCTGTGGCAAGAGGATTGTGAATTCTAGTTCAGCCTTGGCTATGGGGCAAGACATTGACAACCAAAAACCATGTCAGACATCCCTCCAAAATTCCAGGGCCTTGTGCATGCTAAGAAAGCAACCTACACTTACCGCTAAGCTACGTGTGTGTGTGTGTGTGTGTGTGTGTGTGTAAGAATCTCAGTTATTTTCTCCTTTTCGAGATACACTTTTTGATGTCTTTTAAGTATAAATTTCTATAAAGCCACACTTATTTCATGTTTACTTAGTTGCATGTGCGTTTTAGTGTACCTAAGAATGTTTGCCTAATCCAAGAGCATGATGAAAGTTTTTTGTATATTCTTTTACGAGGTTGATATTGTTAGCTGGTTGTTGTCAGTTGGTTGGTTGATGTATTTGTTTGTTTTCTCCTTGAGACAGAGTCTTTCTGTATAGTCCAGACTTCAAATTATAATCCTGATATAGCTTCTTGAGTGTTGGGATTATAAATATATGCTACCATGCTGAACTTACTGTAGGTCTTAAGTTTTGAAATTGTGAAGTATGTGTTCCAACTTCATACTAAGATCTTCCAATTTTTTTGTGCATCCTTAGAAAATGAGAATCACCTTTTCTATTTCTGTAAAGCATCCCTTTAAATTTGATAATGCATTGAATCTGTAGATTTCTTTCAGTGATAGTATTAAACCTTCCAGTTTATGAGCATGGGATATCTTTTCCATAGTCTTTACCTTCCTTATAGCACTGTTTTGTAGTTTTGTGTATTTCACCTCTTTGACTACTTTTTTTTCCTAAAAGGTACTTCAGATTGTGCTTTAGTATAATTGTTGTAATATCTCATTACATGTTCTTTGTTTTGAATTAACTTTTAATTGATTCTTTATTACAGTATTTGGAAGGACAACTGACTTTTGTAGTGGTCTACAACCTTGCTGAATTTATGTATTTTAATAGGTTTTTTTTAATGGAGAATTTTTATCATATCTATATACTTAGAATCATACAGTCTAGGAGTAGATACATATTTCCAGTTTGCAAGACTTTATTATCTTTCTCTTGCCTGGTTGCGTTGGTTAGAACTTCTGAAGATGACTAGCAGTATGTAAAAGTAAGCACTGATTTTTAGAAGGAAAGCATTCAGTTTAACTTCATTGAGTATAAGTTTAGCTATGGTTTTTTAAAAAATTATTCATATGGGGGGAGGGGACCTGTAACCATAAAATGATTTTGTTACATGCTTTCCATCATTTACATGCTTTGTTACATTTGTTACATGCTTTCCATCAATTGAGATGATCATGTATTTTAATATACTTTCCTTTCTTAGGTTCAGCTTACCACATATGCCTTGTTCATAGTGTAGAATTCCTTTATGCAATATATTTCCTATTTGCTAGTTTTTTAAAGGGAATTTTGTGTCTGTATTTGTAAGGTGCCTGGACTTGTAGTTTGCCTGCCTGCCCCCGTCCTCCCGCCTCCTTCCTTCCTTTTTCCCTTTCTTCCCTCCCCCCCCCCGTCTCTCCCTCTCTCTCTCCCTCTCTCTCTCCTTCTTTCCCTCTTTCCCTCTGTCTATCTATATGTCTATCTTTGCTGGTCATGAGGCTTGAACTCAGGGTCTGGGCATTGTCCCAGGCTAGCCTTTTCCACAGCACCACTTCTGGTGGTTAATTGGAGATAAGTCTCTCAGACTTCCCTGCCTGGGTTGGCTTCAAACTGAGATTCTTAAATTTCAGCCTCCTAATTAGCTAGGATTACAGATGTGAGCCACCTGTGCCTGGCAGACCTGTAGTTTTCTTGTTCTTGTGATGACTTTGTCTGGCTTTGATATCAGGGTAATGCTAGTCTTAAAAGAGATGAGTTAAGAAGAGTTCTGAGCTATAGAAGTGTTCATTGCAGCTTTATTCACCATAGCTAAGATACGGAATCAGCCCAGATGCCCCTCAGTAAATGAATGGATCAAGAAAATGTGGTATATATACACAATGGAGTTCTATGCTTCCATCAGAAAGAATGACATTGCCCCATTCATAAAGAAATGGAAGGACTTGGAAAAGATCATACTAAGTGAAGTAAGCCAGACCAAGAAAACATAGGTTCCATGGTTTCTGTCATTTTTATTTATTGTATTTTATTTATTTATTTATTTTTGGGTCCGGTTGTGGGGCCTGAACTCTGGGCCTGGGCGTTATTCTTCAGCTCAAGGCTAGTCCTCTACCACTTGAGCCACAGCGCCACTTCTGGCTTTTTTCTTTTTGCTTATGTGGTGCTGAGGAATTGAACCCAGGGCCTCATGCATTCAAGGCAAGCACTCTACCACTGAGCCACCTTCCCAGCCCTGTCATTTTTAATAATTAGTATATGCCTAGGATAGTCCTAGCAGAGGTTTACAATAGCCCATATTTCTATTAACATCACAAAGTGATGCTATTAGAAATGATCTCTACCATCTGGAAAAACAAGTAGGTTTTGGTGATGTTTCTTTTTTCTGTTTACAGTTTGCCGTAATTTTTTTCTGTTATTTTTTTCCCCTCTGGTTTACTCACTGTGGTCACTGTCTATGATTTTGGTACCCTTTGTCTAGTATAAGTTTATCTTATTTGGGGAAGGGAAGGGAGTAACCGAAAAGGTGTGGGACAAAGGTGTGGGACAGTCATCAGTGATACTCACTAGACAGTCTGTTGGAAATAAACTATATGTCTTGGGAGGGGAGTGGGAGGAAGGGAAAGTGGGAGAAAACGAGGGAGGGGGTAGGTAACACTGTTAAAAAATGTACTCATGGGTGAAACCGTTGGAAGTATGTCCTAGAGCATAGATGACCAGGTAAGATGGCAGCAACCAAGAGAAAACGGCGTGGAGACTTGCTGGCCAAAGCAAAGAAGCCAAAGAGATGGAAAAGATGCCAGGAAGCCAGTTGCGCAGCCAGGCAAGGCAGAAGAAGTAGAGGAAGAAGATAGAGATTGTATCCCAGGCCCCATTTTCAGGGCAAGTGAAAAAATAAGGAACAGATTCTCATCTTTTCTTCCAGAGGAATTAATTTTTGAACAAGACCTTTAATGCAGAACCTGAGAATGTTGATACCTCATTCTAAAGCAGATACTAAAATGGATCGTAAAGAAAGATTATTTGTGATTAACAAGGTCTGTGAAATGAAAAACTGCAATAAGTGTATCTTTTTTGAAGCTAAGAAAAAGTAGGATCTCTATATGTGGCTTTCAAATTCATCTCAGGGGCCACCTGCCAAATTCCTTGTTCAGAATATTCATACCCTAGCTGAACTACAGATGACTGGCAACCGCTTGAAAGGCTCTAGGCCCCTTTTATCCTTTGACTCTGCCTTTGATGAATTGCCACCATTTGTGGCCCATGTTTTTATTTTCACTATTTTGGATAATCAGATATGGTTTCGGAACTTTCAGATCATAGAAGAAGATGCTGCTCTTGTAGAAATAGGACCTCATTTTGTCTTAAGTCGTATAAAGATTTTCCAGGGAAGTTTTGGAGGGCCAACTCTATATGAAAATCCCCACTACCAGTCACCAAATATGTATCGACGTATCATAAGATCCATCGCAGCTGCAAAATACAAAGAGAAACAACAAGTGAAGAATGTTCAGAAACTGAAAAAGAGCCAAAGACTGTTCTTCCACATGATCCTACTGAAGATGTTTTTGCTGTACCAGCTGAGGAAAAACTAATAGAAATACAGTGGGTAAAACCACAGCCCAAAGTAGATTTGAAAGCAAGAAAGAAGAGGGTTTACAAAAGGCAGAGGAAAATTCAACAGAAAATGAATAGAGGGAATTAAAAATGAATCAGTGGATAACTAGTTTGTTTTTTCAGTTATTGTATACTTGTATTCTGTGTGTAAATACTTTTATTATCCAAGACAGCTTTATATCTAATTAGTATGCCATTTAAAAGAAAACTTTAAATCTTAAATTAATTTTATCTTTTCTAAGTAAAAAATCTAAAAAATTTATTCATTACTTATGTAACTGTACATCACCTTTACAATAAAATAAAAGTATTCTGGAAGACTTTGAGAACGATTCTTATTCTTTAAATATCTGTATAATTCAAGCCATGTGGTTCTTTGGGGGGAAATTTCTGATTACTAATTTACTTGTCACTAGTTAAAGGGTTTTGCTGCTGTTGTTTTTATACCAGTACTGAGGCTTGAATTCAAGACCTTACACTCTTGCTTGGCATTTTTTGGTAATAGTTGGTGTTCTATAACTTGAGCCACAGCTCCAGTCTGATTTGCTGGACTCTTACAGAGTCTCTTATAGACTTTTTCAGCTATGACTACTGGTGCAGAATTATCTAACACACAATCTCTTTTTAGAATATAGACTTAATTATGTCATTTATTTATTAAATACTGTATCAAAAGTGAGAAAAAACAATGTGTAAGTATAGGACATATATGGAAGATTTTGTTATTTTTTTAAACAACGATAAGATGAAAACTAATGTCACAGCTGTGGCTTATTTCTCTGATTTTTTTTTTTTTTTGTTAGTACTTGTGGCTTGAACTCAGAGACCCCTGCTCTGGCTTGGCTTTTGGCTCAGGTCTAGTTCTTTTTCACCTGAGCCACACCTCCACTTCTGGCTTTTTGCCAGTTATTAGGAGATAAGAGTCTCATGTACTTTTTCAACTTTTCTGCCCACATTTGGCTCTTGAAGCTAAGATTGCAGGGTCATTGGTACATAGCTGATACTTACATTTCAACTTGACATTTTAGAGATTGTCCCTCTGCTAGCACAAACTTCATACTAGTCAAAGGTTGTTATGATTCCTGGATCAGTAAGATTTTCATACCTACCATTATATTTATATAATGGCTTGGCAGCTACTTTCAAAGTTTAGGGAATGTTGTTTATATTTAGACAGGGAGTTCCCTCTCTGTATTTAGCCATGAATTTCTTTGCTGTTTCTGAGATGACACAAATTATGGCATCTCACAGATATCTGTACTAGTAGGCATGAATGTGAATTTAATTCTTTTTTTCTAATAGGAGCCCTACCTGTACTGGAATAATTTGGTGGTCTATGACTGGTAAAATGTGATCCTTTAAGATATCTGGGTGATAAGAGTTCTTCATTGTTGTTACAAGTCTTACTGTAATCTTGCTTTAATTTCTCCTTAATGGGTACAGCATAACATAATGCACTTAGTCTTTACTACTTCAAGGATGAGTATGGTCCCAGGAAGAACTTTCTCTCTTTTCCTGTTTCTGTGAGACTTCTAGTTTGTTTACCATTTTGTGTGTTAGTTTTATAGAGATTGTTATTGTAGTCAGCAGTGCATTTATCCATGAAAACTTCCTCTGAAAAAATAAGGCCAGTTCTCTTCAGAAAGAGCTTTTAGTCCTTTCAATTTGCCTCTGCTCTTTATCAGAACCTCACCTGTACTGTGTGGAATATGTAAGCAGGTACACGAAGCCTCCTCCTTCTAGAGTGACTTCTTTTCTTGGTGCATGAATTTTACCAGGGAGTACTCACTTGTTCCAGAATGGGGTGTAGGTAGGCTTTGGGAGCAAAATTGGGAGGAGTGGTAGTTAGGACTCTAGTATCTTGGAATGTAGCTTCTGTGCTAGAGCCTTTCTTTTTCAATGGGAGGAGAGGGAACCTTGCTTTTCTTGATAGTAATTCCTGGAATAGGGCTTTTTAACATGTAGTAGAAGTATGAGAAATGTTGGCTACCTATTCTTGAGATAAAGATATACCTTAGATTGCATCCTAGGGAAGAAGGGCCTCTATCTTAGCTGTATACACCCAGTGTAGACCTTCAGTAACATGTTGTGGAACTAGAAATGGGAAATGATCATACTTTTAATGCTTCCAATTTTATTTTGTTACTGAATTTCAGTGGATTTTCTTGAATAAATGTTTTTCTGTTT